ATCCCGCTTTCTAGGAGGCTGAGGCAGGAGGGTACCAGCTCCAGTGCAGCCTGGGAAACTTGGCGACTTAATGACATACTGCCTCAAAATAAAAAATAAATTAAAAAAAAATAAATTTCCAGTGGTGATTAGTGGAAGGTCCCATGTTGATTCAATCCCTAGTACTGTTAGAAAACAAACAAACAACAACAACAAAAAATTATCTTTTATTGTAGTTAAAAAGTAATGCAACATGTTTGGTATGCATCTTTTTTTTGGTGTATATCTTAACTGTGTGTCTGATTCAACAAATAATTTATTGGACATAAGCAATACCAATGCCAAGGTTGTCACTGTCTTGCTTGACCAACTCCACAAGCCTCCATTTTGCTCCGCAGGTATCAGCATGTTTCAGGAAGGTTCTTCACTGTCCTGTCAGCATTAGGGCTCCTGCAGTGCCACAACAGAGCAAACCACACTGCTTTGTCACTTATCTCTGTCCCAGACTTTCAGCTCTGTGAGAACAACGAATGTTTCATTCGCCCTGACAAAGCACAGATAAGCTTTTTTTTTTTTTTTTTTTTTTTTTTTTTTTTTTTAATGGAGTAAAGTGGAACAGAAATAGTTGAAGAGCAGTATTTTGGTTACTTTTCTCATCGCTGAGGCAAAATACCCAACACCCAAAGTTAAAGGAGAAAGGTTTGTTGTAGCTCAGGGTTTGTAGAAGTTTAAGTTAGCTGCCTGCCTCCAAGGCAGGGTGGCTCGGCAGAGGAGAAACAGCTCATGAGGGGCAGCAAAGCAGAAGGCAGCAAGCAGCAAGGAACCCCAGCACCCCTCTTTCTGTCCCTTATATTCTATCCAAGCTGCATGTCCTTTTGTTATATGTAGGCAGCCGAGTTAGATAGAAATATTATAGGCAGTCAGACAGGGCCAGGCCCTAAAGGAGATAACACAGAAGACAAGATGCCTTACAACTGTGGCAGGGACGGATGCTCATGCAATGGGCCAGACCTGAAGACCAGAGATCAAACAAATGCTAACCTCTTTAAAGATTGGTATCTGAGATTGATCATCACCCTGAGGGAGTCAGAAGAATCGTTAATCAGACTACTACTGGATGGCTACCAGACAAGGTCCTGTTCTACATTCATGCCCGCTTGCCACGTGACTCCTTTCCCCATTTGCTCCTGAACTTAATCAATTTTACCTGAGCAATGGTTCTTGTAATCTTATTGGTTGACCATAGTTTTATCCTACCTCATGCCCACCTACGCAAGTTCCCATGTTCTCCACCACCTTAGACCCGCCTCACTGCACAGTTTTACTCTATAAAAAGTTCCTGGAAGAGACAGCTTCCTGAGGATAAGCTGCTGGGGGGGGGGGTGTCCTTCCTGTCCCCCTCTCTGACAGCTTTCTTTCCCCAGCAATAAATCTATTCTGCTCATAACCTCTGTTCTTAAAATGTATTCTTCAGTTTTAGAGAACATGAACTCATCCCAGGTACTTTTTAGATTGGGAGAGTATTTCTTCTCCTTTATCATTTGGAGGTCATCCACCCCATATCAGTTTTTCTCCTTGTGTCATTTGGAGGTTCCCTGTGTCACTGTAGCAGGAGGATACCTGAGTTTGAAGCCAACCTGAACTATGTAGCAAGACCCTGTCTCAGAAACAAAACAAAAAATACAAACAAAACAAAAATTGCTAACTTAGGAAATAGTAATACTGATTATTTCCTTCTACTATCTTTCATTCCTTAAGAAATGTTGCAAAGATGTTTTCTTGCTTTACTACTGAAAGTTGATTTCTCCGTGGTCCAGAGGCTGAGAAGTCTGACATCAAGCCTCCTGCAGATTGATTGTCAGGTGAGCTTCTGGTCTCTGCTCCGAGATGGTGCCTGCAGGGCAGGGTCCTCCAGCGGAGAAGCGCTGTTCTGCACACACAGAAAAGTGGGAGAGAGCCACTCACTCCTGCACAGCTCTCGCGCTCACCTTTGCCCTAAGCCAGTGCTGACCTGAACACCTCCCATTCAGCCTCACCTCCCAACGCTGTTAAATTAGGGACTAAGCCTCGGCCCAGGGAGGCTGAAGCTGTCCCCCAAGCTGTCAGCACTCACATCCCACATCTCTTCTCTCCCTTTTCCTAAGTAAGCAACATATTTTGCTGCACTGTTGTGATAACTGCATAACTGGTCTTTCTCCTTCCACTTTTGCCTGCACACACACACACACACACACACACACACACACACACACACAATTTTCTGTCATTTCTCAATTCAGTGCTCCAATGGCATCTCATTAGTTTCAGAGAACTACAGCCTCCAACGTCCTTCACTTGCCAGCTCCCAGCCAATGTAATTAGATCAGCCAGTATTCTTGCTATCCTTCCTCCTGTTCAGTCACTTTTTTGTTTTGTTTTTTGAGACAGGGTTTTACCATTTAGTTCAGACTGGCCTTAAACTATGTAGCCCAGACTGGTCTCAAACTTTTAGGGATCCTCCTGCCTCAGCCTCCTGAATCCTGGGTAGTTCAGCCACTTCTGCCTCAGTACACTCATTTCGACTTCATATCTTTGCACTTGTTATTATTGGGGCTTTTGTTGTTGTTTTCAGAGAAAACTAAACTTGTTGATGCCTTCCTTGATCTTGATGTTTTGTTTTCTTTTTGTCTTTTTGAGACAAAAAGTGCCTTCACTGTGCAGTTCAGGCTGGACTGGAATGCCCTTTGTAGCCCAGGCTGGCTTTGAAGGCACAGTGATACTCCTGCCTCAGCCTCCTGAGGTGTGTGCCACCATGCTTGGCCGGCTTTTTTTGTTCACTTGTTTGTTTGCAAAAAGGTCTCACTGTGTAGTGCAGTCTGGCCTGGAATTTGAAGTGATTGTCCTGCTGCAATTATGACATGGAGCATGTGCCCAGCCTCTTTTATTTCACAAAGTGTTCCTCTCCAGTGCTGGCTCATCAAAGACGTCCCTTAAACAACCTCAGTAGCACCTAACTATACTATCTAAGTCTCTTTCTTGCCTAACTATGTGCATTTTCTCTACTTTCCCCTATGATAGGTTATGGCCCTAGTATGAATTGCTGAATTATTATGGTGGTCGCCTAATATGGCTGAAGCCCTTGAAACAACAGCTTACCTGCCCAATGACCACTTCTTCCTCCTTCCCCACTCCAGCCTTGGGTACAACTTCCTTTTACCTTTCCTGCCCACATAAAGGAGACTCCAATCAGCTCTGTGTTGCAGGCAGCCAAATTAAATAGAAATATTATAGGCAGTTAGACAGGGTCAGGCCCTCAAGGAGACAAGATGGACGACAAGGTGACTTTACAACTTGGAAGAGACAGACACTACCATATGGGCCAGACCTCAAGACCAAGACAAAAAGAGGAAGCACAGCTACATACTTCCCTAGAGATGGGCATCAGGGATTGACAGTCTACATAGGTATCAATCATCTTGAAAGAGCCCAAATGAGTCACTAGCCCAATCCCCAACAGGAAGAGACTGCCCAAATTCATGCCCAACTGCTGCGTGACTTGCTTCCCCATTTGGTTCTGGATTTAATCAATTTTACCAGAGCAACGGTGCTTGTAATCTCATTGGTTGACCATAGTTTTGTCCCACCTCATGTCCACCTAAGTTCCTATGTCTTCTCCACCACCTTAGACCTTAGACCGGCCTTGCCACATGGTTTGCCTTTATAAAATTTCCTGGAAGAGACAGCTTCTGGGGAACAATCCTCTGGGGGGGGGCTCCTGTCCCTCTTTTGGACAGGGGCTTTCTCTCCCTCAATAAATATATTCTGCTTATAAGCTCTGTCTGTTCCTAAAATTCATTCTTTGGTTTTAGAGAACACGAATTCGTGCAGGTCAGGTTGGAAGATCATTTTTCCCTGTGCCATTTGGAGGTTACCCACCTGAGATCAGTTTTTTTCCCTGTGTCATTTGTATGTTACTAAACTGGCCCCTTGGACACTACCCCCGGCAAAAGTCCTAAAGTCTCAGGCTCCCTGTCTCAGATCAGAAGATCTGCCCATCTCCCTGCCCTTGGTCCTCTCCGTGTGTTTAGAGTTAATAAAGTCTTTCCCTCTCCCTACCTCTGCTTCTCTACTGCACCATCGCTGTTGCCTCTAAAACCTATCACCCTAATCCAATACAAAACTGAAGGGCGCATAAGCGCTGTTGTTTACTACTATATCTGTATCCCCAGGGCTGTAAAGAAATAAAAGCAGGCAAGGTGCCACAAGGAGTTTTAGGCAGAAGAATCATGAATTTGAGGTTACATAATGAATTTGAGCACACTGAGACCCTGTCTTAAAAATGAGATGAATAAAAGGTATAAGGACTGAGGAAAAAAAAAATTGTACACACAGGACAAGTGGTCATCTGAGAAACTCACAAGAATGTTGTACACAATTAACCACTAAGAAGAATATATGCAGTGTATTATTTGTTGAAAAATAAAAAAAAGAGTAAAATGTGACTTTTAAAAGTATACTCTATAACCAAATAAGGTTTTTAAAAAAAATCTCAGAATGCATGAATAAAATTCTGTATTTGAAGGAAAAAAAAAAAAAAAAGAATGTTGTACAGATGTGACAATGAGGATTGAGCAAGATTGCTGGATACAAACATTGAAATCAACATTGGCTAACACTAGAAAATGTAGTAACTAAAAACATGGATATAGAAGAACATTAAATAATATAAATTTTCTAGGAAATATTAACAAAAGACATTTATGAAGAAAGTTGTAAAACTATTGAAAGACATTTCAATGGCCTAAATACAGGGAGAACTACCATGTTGATGGGTGGAAAGAGCCAATATTTAAAGGTAATGTGGTTCACCAAATTAATCTATAAATTCAACACAAATACAATAAAAATGGCAGTGTATTTTATTTTAGAACTCGCCAATCTAATTCTAGATGTTGTCTGGGAGAATGAGCCACAACACAGTCCCAAGAAAGACAAATCTGGTGCTGATATTAGAGGTGTAACTGGTCAATGTCACGATAAAATGTAGAGGCATCTTGGTTTTATTAAGACCATTTTCTGAAGTTGTAGTAATTAGGATTGTATTGTACTGCCACAAGGTTAGACAAATTGATAGAAGACACCAATAGACCCACAGCTGCACAGAAACTGGATTTAGGAAAGAGCCAGTGTTAGGGATCAATGGGAGAAAGACATTTTTCCATAAATGGCACTGGGACTACTACTTATCCAGACAGGAAAATAATATTAAATTGACTATCTACCTTATGCTTTTTCACAAAATCAGTTCAGGGCAGTAAAGAATATCTTGGGGCTTCGGCTAGGGGATGATCTCCCCTTCAACCCAACTTGTATCCAGCTTTAAAAGGTATTTTTCACAAACAGTTCCTTCCAGTACCACGTAGGCAGCGGTCTACCACATCTTACAACTTCCAAACGCGCCTCCCCAAAGTCACTGTGAAAGTCAGCAAAGCCTCCTGCTGCAGCTCCGGACAGAAGCGCGCACAGGGTCACAGGACGGTCACAGGACGGGTCACGGGAGGCGCGCGGCGCTTCTCAGAGGCCAACTCTGCCTGACCGAGCGAGGCGAGCAAGACCTGCCGGGTTCTCAGCAGGACGGCCGGCCGGCAGAGTGCGGGTGCCATCCCGAGGCCACCCCGCAGAGCCCGAGCCCGGCGGGCGGGCGGTGATCCCAGGGCGCCAGGCCTCCCGCGGCTCCCGGTGGACGCGGTCTGGTCCGTGCGCAGGGCAACAGGGAGGAGGCCCGCGCCGTTCCGCGCCATGCGGCTCTGCGCCCGCCCAGCAGCTCCGGCGGGAGACGCGGCCTTCCGCGGGCCCAAGAACGACTCAGGCCGCGCCGACCCGCTCCTCCTCGGACGCGCTGCCAGGTGGTACTTCCCCTTCCCACAGAAGACAGCGGAGGGCGCTGTGTGCTAACAACTTAAAAAACATCAAAGCTCTACATTTTTGTAAAACTTGATTAAAAATAGTGCTTCCTAGCTGCTGAGTCACTGCAGGGCGCGGCGGGGCGCGGCGGCCCTCACTGGGCGTCCCCCGCGCCCTCCGCCCGCTGGGGCCGCGCCGCCGCGCCCTCGGGGCTCGGGGCCGGGCCGTGCGCGCCCTTGCCCGCCGCCTTCCCCTTCCTCCCCCGGCGCTGCTTCTCCCCCTTGGCGGGGGCCTTCTTGGGCTTGGGCTCTGGCTTAGGAGCAGCAGGCTTAGCGGACAGCCGGGCGGACCTCCTCTGCGGCTCGTCCTTCGCCTTCGCCTTGTCCCCTTTCGCGTCTCCTTTCGCCTTTCTCTTCGGCATGGTGGCCGCAGTGCCCGCGGGCTGGCCAGACGACAACGACAGGCGCTTCTGCCTTCCCAAACCGCACCTGGAAAAGTTCTTTAATGAGACACAAAAAGTGAAAGCCATAAAGGGAAAGGTGGGCAGATTTAACGCTAAACATCAAATGCACGGAGGTGTGGTGGCACACACCTATAATCCCAACGCTGGGACGGCTGAGGCACAAGGATCCCCAGCCTGGGCTGCACAGTGAGCTCAACACCAGCCTAACTCCATAGCGCGATCTTGTCTCAAAGAATGAAAAACAAATGTAAAAATGCACACTTGTAAATCATCCAAATACCTTTCAACAGGACATTTTGATGGTTATCTGTACGAAAAACTACTATTGAGCTGCTGAAATAGTCTACAATTAAATGTAAAAATGTGGCTAAATCTCAATGCTGAGCAAAAAAAGGGGGGGGGGAAGTTATAGAAAGATATGAACAAAATACGAGTTCGGTAAATATGTACAGTAAAATTTTATTACAGTACAAGACACACGGCCATTAATTTCTCTCAAAACACTCCCCTTTGTTTCACACAGTTATCCCATCCTTGCTATTTTCTGAAGTAGTTCTGGAGATGTTCTTTTGTGTCTATAGTTTTGCTGTTGTATCTACCTCAACAAGGTCATCTTAACTTGGGAAAAGCTAGAAGTTGCGTAGTATCAGATCTCCTAAACACTGTGGATGTGAACACTGGGCGTGGCGGTGCCCTCCTGTAATCCCAGTGCTTGGGAGGCTGAAAACAGGAGGATCACTACAAGTCCAAGCTGTGTAGTGAGACCCTGTAGACCCTGTACTAAATACATAATAATGATGATGATAATAATATGGATGAGAAAGTGATGTAATTTTTTAGTTGACAGAAATTGCTGTGATGAGGAGTGACTGAAAAATATAGCAAAAATTTAAAATAAAAAATTATTGCAGTAGCAGACACATTGCCATTCACCTCTCAAAATACACAAAGTACTCTCCCTCGCTTTGAATACATGTAGCCCATCATTCTTAGCAATGCTTTTTATAATACAAACACCATAATTTTCCATCATTTTTGTATGGCTGTTTATATGATTAAAACTATGGGATGGTTTATCTACAGGCACTTTGGCAAAACTAAAACAAACAAAACCAAAGTATAAATACAAAAACTGGAACAGTGATCAACTCTTAAAGCTGAGAAAGGAGCTGGGGAGGGGGCATAAAAGACCAGTCCGCGGCTGAGTGTAATGGTGGCACGTGACTATAATCCCAGCACTTGGGAGACTAGGTAGGCAGGAGGTTCACTGTCTGAGGCCTACATGGGCTCCACAGTGAGTTGAAGGCCAGCCTAAACTACATAGGGAGAGGATGTCTAAAAAAAAAAAAAAAGAACAAAAAACAAAGTCCAGAGAAGGTCACGGTGAGGGTGGCATTTTCTCTTTTACAAGTTTCGAGGGGGGCATATGTCTCATGTATTCTCTATTTCTTGGGCAAAAAAAATGTATCTGCTCAAGAATGAATAGACTATAAAAATGTAAGTGGTCAACAAGTAAATTTGATCAAAATCATACAAGTGGGAAAACAATTTAAGTCTGTGTAACTAGGAATGGGGCCTATGGCTGGCATCCAGGGTACCCTATGACTTTCTAAACGCTTTCCGCCAAGATTACCTCGTGGTACTGCCTGCTCCAACATTAAAAACATTTCCTGGGAAGTTCTGCAGCCTTGTGTGTTTCCCCAACTCTAAAATATCATGTCTTAAAACAATCACTATCATATCTCTAAATTGTTCCAGAGTTTCATCGTTTGTTGGGCCTCACCATTTATTGAAATGCTCTGGTCATAAGCAGGCAAGTTTAGATCTGAGGTATCATGAGAGTGACAAAGTGATCATCTGTACATGGTGCTAAACCATCAAATTATCTAGCATTTCCACAGTGTTGCAGTTTTCCTTTTTTTTTTTTTTTTTTTTTTTGGCGGAACTGAGGATTAAACTCAGACCCTTGTGCTAAATGCTTATTCTATTGAGCCATTTCCCTGGCCCTCCTTCTTTCTTGTAGAAGAGAGATAAGAATTATTATAAAGAAGAGGGGAAGCTACAGTGGGAAGCCAGAGTGGGAGTCATTATTTCCCCTGGCAGTTTGAGAGACAAGCTGGGAACAGGAACTAAAACAGAGAAAAGAAATAGCTCTGTGTAGGAGACGCTTCCAGATCCTTGTCTCGGTCCAAGAAGCCAATATCTGTAATCCCAAAGTTATGTTATTGGAATCCCATCAAGTTGATTCCAATGTACCACTTTCAATGCAACCCACGGAGGAAAATAAAGACACTAAATTATATTTTCAATTATCGGGGAGTCAAAGGGTTCTAAATTCAGCCACGAAGATGTCTTTCCGGAACCAAGAGAGCGACCCAGGGTCTCACCCGGTTTTATTCAGTGAAGGAGTTGCTTGAGGAGAAATGACCGAGAATTGTGGGAAGCAGGTGACTACTGTGAGCTGAGCTAGGCGGGTGGCCTACATTTACATCTGTCATATGCGGAGAGAGTAATCTGCATTATACTATTATGCCACAGAGATAGCATCTACTGTTTTGGGAAGTCTGGTGCTTCAGCTTTGATGTAGTTTTTTAAGCCCCAGGAAGGCATAGCCTCTATCTTGAGGCTCCATCCCAGCTGGTGGCACAGAGCATTAGCTCTTCTGTCCTTTCTCTCTCTCTCTTATTTTTTTAAATAGAAATATTATTTTATTTTTTTAATAGTTCACTGTGTCAAAACCAAGAAACTTATATTCATATAATTAGAATTCTCAAAGTAAAAAGGAGTAGACAATAAATATTTAAAGATTTTAAATTTCTGAATTTAGTTCAACTTATAATATCACATTTCCAAGAAAAATGAATCTTTTGCACAAGTCTTCCATCCTTTCTCGATCCGGCTCATATCAAAGAGCAGCAGGTATAGGTTGCCAGGGAAACACGCACGCCACCTTCAACGACTATCACCAGCACTTCGGCTAGACCAATATCCATTGCTTAAGGCCAACTGAAGGATAAACACAAGTCCTAGCCAACTTTGTACACAGCAATATGAGAAAATAGAGTCAGGCTCAGTTAAAATGGAGACAGTCGCTCTTCTTTCAAGGAGAGCTGCTCAGGTGGTCCCCCACAGTTCTGCTTTTGTTGAACGGCTTTTCCCTGAAAAGTCAAGGCACTATGAGCTGGAGCCTTCTCCTCCCTTACATTCTCTCCTCTTGCCTTCTCTTCAGGATGGGGAGATTATAAGTCATGGTGCCACCACTTCCTCAAGGCTACCAGGCCACCAGAGCTACCTGCTCTCTTCAGAAGACACCCTCCATCCCCTCTCCCCCTCCCAAATGCACACTACTAAGCCAATGTGCTAATGTTAACAATGTTTATAGAACAAGATCTTCGCTGGACATGGTGGCACAAGCCTGGGCTACATAGTGAATTCAAGGCTACGCAAAACTACACAGTGAGTCTCTTCCTCTAAACAAGAAAACAAACAAACAAACAAATAAATAGAACAAAAGAGTTTAGATTGAGGCCTGGTGGCACATGCCTGTAATCCTAACACTTATACAGCGGAGGCAGCAGGATCTCTGGGAGTACAAGGCCAGCCTGAACCACATAGCTAAATCCTATCTAAAATTAAAAAAAAAAAAAGTATGCAGGTTTGAACACAATACAGAAAAAAGATATTTCTACAGAAAATAATTGAGAAGAATCCAGAGGTCATATATGTTAGCTGTGAGCATGGTTAACAATGTGACCAGAAAAGAATGCAGGACAGAGATTCTTATGGCGAAACAGACAGCATTCAGAAATATTTGAAAATGTCTTGGTCTAATATTAGGGTAATTTGATTTACCTTTACTGCCCTAATATAATTGTTAATAATGCTCCTTTTTACTGTCCTACTTGGACAGGAAAAGATAAGGCCACCCCAAATATTCTGGCATCCAGGGTACTCTGTGACTTTCTAAAAGCTTTCGGCCAAGATTACCTCATGGTACTGCCTGCTTCAACATTAAAAACACTTCCTGGGAAGTTCTGTAGCGGTATGTGTTTCCCCAATTCTAAAATTTAGGCTTTCTTCCTTTCTCTCTCCTTTCTTTTCTCTCCTCTTCTCTTCCTTTCCTTTCCCCTTCTCTTTCTTTTCTCTCTCCCTCCCCCCTACCCTTTCTCTTTCTCTTTTGTTTCACTATGTAGCTCAAACTAGCCTTGAACTTAAATTTACCATGTAGTCCAGATTGGCCTTGAAGTTACAGCAATACTCCTACTTCAGCTTCTTGAGTGCTGGGATCACGGGCATACACCACCATAGCTGGCTTTTTTTTTTTTTCTCCATTTTTTCTACAAATCCAAAACTGCTCTAAATATATATAAAATAGGATATACAGCTACTTTCTCTTACTTCAATTAGAAAGATTTGTACTAATATTGTTTAGACAAGAGATCATGTCTGTATCTTGTACTCTGAATAACTACTATGAAGACAAAAATATGCAATGTATTAATTACTGTAACTGTCCTACTAACCCATTTTAAGACTATCTCATTGCTATTTCTTTCTCATTAAAATTAATAATTTAAAAAAAAATAACTGCTCAAAAATTTATGTAAGAAAAAGATGACTTTAAGAGTTTCTAAAAAGGGAGATGAGCGCAGTGGCACACACCTGTAATCCCAGCACTAGGGCCCTGAGGCAGGAAGATCATTGCAAGTTCAAGACCAGCTTGGGCTACAAAGTAAACTCAAGGCCAGCCTGAACTGCATCGTGATACCCTGTCTTAAAAAGAAAAAAAGAGGGAGTTAGGTTCCAAAAAGGGAAAAATAATTTGTTGAATAATGTGACCAAGTCATCACAAATATTCATGTAGCATATGTAAGAAAAGGAAAATTACTGACTGGCAGATAAATCCTATAAGTAACATAGCTTCTAGAAATGCAGAGAACTTGAATTTCAAGGGCAAGAAATTATCAGGCAGATCATGAAGTTATTTGTCTAAGATATGGCAACAAGGTTGAAATAAAACAAGGAATAAAACAAGTCCACTCAGTTAAAAATAATTTTTCAAGGAAGAACTTACATTACAAGAGAACAAATTAGTGAAATATTTCAATTCCTTCTCATCACACTGCATATAACTGGATTGAAATTCTTGTGAAAGTTCCCAGAGGCAAGTGCTCTACCACCAAACTATACTTCAAGCCCAACTGCTAATATTATTTGGTTTTTTCTGAGACAAGGTCTTGCCATATCAGGCTGTCTGTGAACTATGTAGCCCAGGTTGGCCACGCGTTCTCAGCAATCCTCCAGCTTCGGCCTCCCAAGTGCTCCAAAGCTAATCTTAAGGAAAGATATCTAGCTTGTCCTTCAGCAGCTACAGAACAGCAGGAATAGCTGCTCAATTCTTATTATGAAGATTTGCATTTTTTCATTAGAAAAGACCTGGAGGTTTAAATTAACTGACACTAACAGCTTTTCAAAAGAGAAAACAGTGGGAAAAAAAAAAAGCATAAAAAGTAAACCAGGCATAGTTGTACACACCTATAATCCCAGCACCTGGGAGGCTGAGGCAGGAGGATCACTTCAAGTTCAAGACCAGTCTGGGCTACAAGGTAAACACAAGGCCAATCTGAACTGCGTACCAACACTCTGTCTCAAATACACACACACACACACACACACACACACACACACACACACACACAAAGCAATAGTATTCTTCTTGTACTACAAAACATCTATATGATATATGAGGACATGAGCATGCTACAATTGTCTGTGAGAATAATTTCAGAGAACTGTGTCAGTAACAAGCAGGTGTTACAGACTGAATTATGTCAGCCCCTCAAATTTGTGTGCTATAGTTATAACTCATAATACCCCAGACTGTGACTGCATTTAGACACAGCATCTTTAATGAGGCAAGAAAGGTAAACGAAGTCATCAGGGTGATCGTTATTCACTATGATTGATGTCCTCATAAGAACAAACTGGGGCATGAAGAACACAAAGGATGATTTCATGAGGATGTAATGAGAAGGTGGCTATCTGTGATCCACAAAGCAAAGTCTAAGAAGAAACTAAACCCGTTGATGCCTTGATCTTGGCCATCTAGACTCCAGAACTGTGAGAAAAATAAATGTGGAGGACCACCTGAGAAGCTGTTCTTGAAAGAGAGATTGTCTCCATTTTGGCTGAGCACCAGATCCCCAAACATTAGATACTATCTCAATAGCATAATGCAAATTACTTTCTGTGCATATGGGAGAGGTAAATGTAGGCCACCCGCCCAGCTCAGCTCACAGTACTCACCTACTTCCCACAATTCTCAGTCATTTCTCCTCAAGCCACTCCTCCACTGAATAAAATCCAGCTGCCTCCCTGGGTCAGCCTCTTTGTTCCAGAAAGCCTTCTTCATGGCTGGACTTAGGGCCCCTTGGCTTCCCAGTAATTATAAATACGTTTTAGTGTCTTTATTTTTGCAGTGGGTTGCACTGGGAGTGGTAGATTGGAATTAACTTGGTGGGATTCCAATTACGTATCTTTGGGATTATAAATATTAACTTCTTGGACTGAGATGAGAAGCAGGAAGGGACTCCTACAAATAAATTTCTGTGGTTTCAGCCACCTGGTTTTGTGGCCTTGTGTTAGGGCAGTACTAGACCACTGATTCTAGCAGGAGTAGTGTAGGAGCTCAGCAACTTGGCATTCATCTTGGATTAGGTTAATTCTGAGATCTAGTTTTCAAAACCTTCTCTTGCACAGCAAGTCTGTCTCAAGCAAAGACCAAATCCTACCTCTTCCAATGCTCACTGCCCTACCACTCAGTGCTCCCGCATCCTTGTGTTGGAGCTGTATTCCTGTATGGCTGCTACAGTGGGTTTCTGGAACACAGCTCTGACTTTGGGAGGCTCAACCTCACTCCAAAATCAGAAAGCTACCCTCACCGCACCCCCTTACTTCTGGAGACAATGGCTTGGAGTTGGAGAGGAGACCAGGAAGGTCACTGACACCACATTGAGGAAGGAGCGTAAGGGATGAAAGAATACAGAATAAAGGATACAATAAAATAAAAGGTTCCTGTGCAAGATGCAGTGTACTAGAGGGGCAGGAGGTTACACAGCGCCAGTTACCCTCCTCTCTGTCTCCCAAGGTATTTGGGGTAAGTGACTGAGAATGGGAAGATAGGCAAGAAAGACAAGGAGCAGGGACCCTAACAAGGTAGGGCTGCTGCTGGCTCTCAGAAGAATCTGGTTTGAAGAAGAGTGTGCCCTAAACGCATAAACACCAGTTGGGCAGGGGTACACACAGCTTCCTAGCTGGAATGCGCCTATTCACTGGCAAGAGAAGGTAAAGGGCACTTCCTTGTCACCTCCTGAGGTCCTGGACCTGTGCTCTTTCAGGGCACCAAATAATTTGCTTCTATTTCTGGGTGGCACAAAGTGATTCTCGATGAAAATGTATTACAAAGATTGCGTCCTGCTGTGCTGGCCACGGTGCTACCTTGCCAAGAGGCCCAGCATTGAGATGAACTCCTGGGTCTTTCAGATAAAGTATGGAATTGAAGGGGTAACGGCTGGGAAAGGCAATGTCTAAACAGCCTGTTTAAAACGATACCACAGCTCTTTGGAAAAAGAGTGGCCCTTCCCATTTTTATGATCCTAAAGACATCACACTGCCATCAGTCACCTGAGGTGACCTAAGTGCTAAAACATTTAAATAGGAGATCCGAAGGTGCGCCTGTCGCCGCAGGAGACACGACAAGCCTTCTTTCCTCAGGAGGGGCCTGGCCGGCCGCGGGCCGAGCGCGACTGCGAGGCAGAGGTCCGACGTGAGCCGTCCGGGCGCCTACTTCCCCGGGCACCGATGCTCCCCGCGAGGGCCGAGCGCGGCGCAGACGGCGCGGCCCGGTGTGTCCCGGCGCGGTGCAGCGCGGG